GCAGCAGTTAATAGTGGTATGTGTTGTTTCACGTTTAATTATTGAATAGGCTTTCTCTGTTTGTGTTTATGCATCTTATGTAAATCCGTTAGCCCTTATTCGTTTTACCCCTATCCCCTTTATACTGTATTGTGTTTATAATCATTATAACTTCTATTCTAAATAGCGACAATTATTTTACTTAATCATGACATCTATTACGTTTTATTTGCCTTTCATCGTGGTATTGCCATTATTTAAATCCAAATGTTACATCTATAAATACATTAGTTCCTATTCCATTCAATCTATGTAAAGCTAACTAATTCTCAACTATATATCCACCAATCACAATACAATTTACTCACCCGATTTATAATATAAAATGCAACCTCATTTATAATATGAATCACACTTTGTCTCATTTATAACCAAATTACCGATCCCATAAATTACTTTTTGTCACTCATTCGATCTTACCATTAATATTCTTCTTATTATTATTATTCTCATTGTTATTATTATTATTCTTATTGCTATTCTTCTTCTTTTTCTTCTACTTCTACTTCCTTCTTCTTCCCGTTATTATTATTCCCGTTAATATTATTATCTAACAACACATTCGATTTCCATATTAAGATCCTTCAGATATTGTCAATCACGTTGTCGGATGATGACCTGACACCAGATGATCCTCTTACACAAGCTTATCTGGGTAGTCTCGGAGATCTGGAAGGAGAAGATGTGAGAAATGGACTTGGTCGGTTTGATGATTTAGCGAGTGTTACTAAACAACTAGGACAGCTAGTAATCGGGCTGAAACCCAAGAAGGGACAGGAGATGGATAATGGTGAAAGTGAAATAGATATTGAAATTGTGAGTGGGGTAGGAGACGGTAATAATGATGGGAATGGGAGCCAAATGGAAGTGAATACCAATGAGGGGGGGATTATGACTAGTGGTGTTACTGGTGATGTCGGAAATAATGATAATACCGAGGCGTGATCTTGCGGATAAAGATGATTTTCGGTGTAATTACTATTCTGATGTTCCTTATCTTTAGCTTGTTTTGCTTTTGTTAGTGTAGTATATATAAATATATAAATATATATATCTTTTTTCTCTCTTTTTTTTTTCTCTTTTTCTTTTCAAAATTGGTTACATTGCTATTCATATCTATATAGTTTTATTTGTATTATCAGTCATCATAGACTCAAACCGGTATTAATAAAGGGTAAAGGACTCTTGTAATGCTTGAGCTTCTCTGTATGAATGTGGAAATCGATGAATGGATTACTGCGTGCTACGTTTAATAGCTGATGGATTTGTTGACGGAGACTCCCAGGCCGATGTGTGTGCGTGTGTGTGTGTATGTGTGTGTGCGTATTATATCAATTATATGCGCATTATATCAATTATATGCGCTGATTAAAAGTATCAATTATATAGTCATTGTAATTACCATTCTAGAATTTCTATTTTGTAAATATTTATTCATTGATTTTACTTGCTTGTCATTATTTGTCACTTGTAATTTTTATTACTGGTTCATGTGGCAATCAGTATTTTTTATGTGGCAATCAGTATTTTTCATGTAGCAATATTTTATACTCGTTTGTTCTTTCCCACATGCTCTGCGCATGTTGGTCTCTTGTGCGACCCAACATATCAGCAATGCACACCGCTACCGACAATGAGCAGGATGTCACCGATGGTTAAATTCACAATTCACCGCCAAATAAATAAATCATTAATATTGCATATTGTATATGCATAAAGTATAACCCGACCAGACGGTAAGGTGTGGACGCTACCTCAACTTCTACTCCCAAAAGGTATTTAATACTGGGAACACAAGCGTACTAGATGCGGTCAATAAGTGTCGATCGTGGCGATCTAACAAAAAGGTGGGATGGGAGAGGGACAGAGATTGGAACGATAGCGGAAATGGGTCAGGGGTCCTGGAATAAAATTGGAAATAAATCACGTGATGAGGTATTTGTAAGAAGACTTAATGGATGACAATGTATAAATTTGATATTTAGTATATTAATTAATAATGATAGCGACAAAACTAGTACCGACTTTAAAATTGTCCAACGCTAGTACTAATCAATGTACAATGTACCGATTTCATTGTTTGTAGTTAGTTCCTGGGTGGGGTGGGGGTGTTCATGTGGGTAGAAATCAACGATGAGAGCCACACATTCGATAATGGTTGGTCCGAGACATCAAAGTGTTGCCGCCAAGAAAAAAAAAATAAGATTTGATTAAGTGAATCAAGGGGGAGGAAGGGGAAGACGCCTAATATCGGATTAGCATGGTAATGACAAATGATCAATCTTTATTGGCAAATTCTGATGAAAGGAAAGCATGTCTACGAATGAGGGGGAGAGCATATGTTCGTCTCTTTCTGATGCTTGTGTTTATCACGTTCTTGTCGCATTTAATGAGAAAGGGACAAGGGGAAAGAGCAAGTCTGTTTACATGTAAAAAAAAAATACACGCACACACACACACACACACACACACACACACATACACACACACACACATACACACACACATACACACATACACACAATACACATATACACTATACACATCATACACACCGAATAACAGGATGTAAAATTATTATTATTGATATTCGGGATAAGCTTAATGCACTTGTAACATTATAGTTACTCAAAATATATATACGTATTGTATTTATTTACTCCAAATGTTTACTTAATATCGAGGCTAGAGATTGCTAACCATGTATGCAAAGTATTGATATTTGTTGTCAGTAACACAATATTTTATGTGTGTTGCGGAATGGTTGCCGATGTAAACGAATGATGTATGCTTTGCTAATAAAGACGGTTCAATGACGCAATAATTACGGTATTTTTTTCTATATCTCTCTCTGGTTTTTATCGAGTTTCAAACTCGGACAGAAAGGAATTGGTGGCTTGGATAATGAGAAGGAAAGAAGGGATGAAAAACTGTCGATAAAAACATTAATTTGCTATACTACAAGGGGTGGGCGGCATATGCTACTTGCCCGATATTTTTACACCCACAATCACAATCACTTGTACCACACATGCTGCAGATTGCCCATTACTCCCAAGATACGTCTCTTCTACAGAAAAAAAAAACCATGATTCTATTTGAATGCCCATTGGACAAAAAGTGCAACAGAAACAAACTTAAAGTAAATCAGCGACAGAAATGGATTCATAGTTTGGGAATATAAGGGGGTGAGGGGAGGTAGATATAGAGACGGAAAAAAAGTATGTGGCGCAGAAGACAACTGCGGCTTCTGTAACATGCTAATAAATACAATCAATAAAGAGAGTAGTTCGTAATATTTATTAACCACACACAGCATTAAGCAATTTACATCTCATTGTCAATGTGAAACGATGGCTAACCGCTTTTTCAAAAAAAGGGGAGGGGACGGGATGGAAAGGGATGATACCTATGTGTACTTTTTAATCGATACAATCGTTAAACACTCCATATTTATTTTATGGGCCTTTTTTTACGCCTATATGCTTATATGCACACCACATTCCACACATTCCATACAACCCATATATAAATATGTTATATTGTCATTATCGTCCCATCCCGAATCTGTATCACATTTTGTACCCCGGTCAATATAATTCGTGCAAGTCAATCAATCACTCCTTCAACAAGAGCTTTATTTGACAGTGAACACGACTTTGCTATATTTTTATATTTCCCCCAGTAGGACGATAGCCATTACATTTAGTAACCAAAACCCGACAGTAACGCACGATTATCGAATGCAGGGGTGCGCCTGTAAGGGTACACATTATGAGATATCGCAAGTGTAAAAGACTGCATGTATAATGATGATGATAATAAAAGTTAGCGTTTCGTTGTTTGATTGGAGAAAAGCGGGGTGAGGGTGAAGAGTGAAGGGTGAAGGGTGGGAAGTGGGGTGGGACATGAAGAGGAGGGCATTAAATGGTGGATCGAATAAACAAACGAGATGAATGAAATATTAGATAATGTCGACACAGATGATATATATACATAGGATACACATATGGATGATATATACATATACATAAGATATACACATACAATACACATACACATACACATAAGATATACACATACATATACACTAAGATATACACATACACTCACTCACTCACACACAATTTATTATATCATGAATGATATAGTATTACTATTAGTCATAACAAATGATAAAGTTTAATTGTAATTTTAACGGTAGAACCTATTGATTGATGTTAACCTCACTTTCCATATTTCGATTGTTATCAATTCGACAAGCCATATATATATAGCCTATCACAGTGCTTATCTATTAACCCGAGTAGTACTAGCCTTATATAGTAAGCGACTATGACTATTTACGATGATGGCTCTTCAAACACTCGATTAACGTTATTGCCGATTTTTTCTTTACTGAACATATGTTATACTGAACTCGACTTGACCCCCCGCATGCCATACGCTATCCCCGCATGTCTTTCCGCTACTCGCAATATCCCACCCTTTTCTTGTTCATTTTACTTATTATTACACGCATTTGTGAAAGAATGCACCAAAATAATTGGGAATTTACCTAATTTGACTCTTTGTTTATTGTTTATGTCACTGCATCTCCGTTTTGGCAAAGACCATTCATGAAACTCAATCGATTAGTATGTATTATGAGGCGGTGTAAATTCTACCCGAACATTCGTAAGGGGGGGGGGCGCTGAGCGGGAGAAAAGGTCATGTTACAAACAAGGCAGTAGGCAACGAGGCCAATACCAGTCTACCCACCCGATTCTCATCTGTGCGAGAGAAAATTTATATACAAGCAACCCCCCACTTGCCTTTCCCCTCAGCTTTTTTTTTTAAGCACTCACCCAACCACTCACCCAACCACTCACCCAACCACTCACCCAACCACTCACCCAACCACTCTCACCCAACCACTCTCCAAATAATACTTTGAAACAATATAAATATTAATTCCAACATTTCACAATTTTCGTGAACCACTGATTCCGGAAACAAACAAGTAAATAAAATAAACAATAAAACATTCAAAAGGTAAAGTTGGCAAGTTACGGGTCTACAAACCTTTGTGAATAATATCCATCTCTAAATTTCAAAAAGCTGCAAGTAGAAATTAGTTGGTCTCACCAACAACCACAACAACAATCCCTTCTCCTATATAAAGATTTTTTATCGAACAATCGGGAAAAGAAAAGTACGCACAAAATAATAAAAAGAAAAAAAGAGCAAAACAATAATAGAGCACACACCCATCCGACGAACAAAAAAAGGTCATCCCAATTTCAAATATCCGCACACCACTAATTAGTCAAACCTATAAATATAATCGACCAAAAAGAAAGAAAAAAAGTAAAAAATCCCTCCCCCTTTCCTTCCGCGTGCAAGTGTCACAAGTTGTCGTTAAAAAATCCTGTGTTTTCTGACGTCACCTTTAAGCCGCTTGGGAAGGACAAAACGAGGGGTTTTTACAGCAACTAAGCAAACGCGTTGACAGGCATTGTCTGTGGATTTGGATTACCACCGTTCACCGTTCACCAAACACACTCCTACACTCTCATACTTCTTTCAACTCTTACAACGAGTGCCCCCCCAAAAAATACTCTCCCTCTCACCGTATACTATACTTCATAAGGTACGCCTCTTTTTTTTTTTCCTCTTTCCCTACCTAATTCTCACCATCCACATCCCCCCCCCCCGCCCCCAACCCCTCCTCTCTCTCCATCTCTGTTTACTGATGAACTTTCTCTACATACAGCCGACATGGCAAATACCATTTTCAACTATTGGGTAAAATATCTTTTTGAATTCTTCTCTTTTTCTTTTCTTCTAATAAATAAGAACATTAGGTAAACGACTTAAACAAAAACCCTCCCTACGTCCATTGCAGGTAAATTCTTTTCCGATGCTGAGATTTAACGGCAAGGAAGAGTCGCAAAACGGCTTTGAAGATGTCGAGCGTGAGAACGGTGGTAGGTATTTCTTTTCTATTGCAGATGAAAGTTGACTATGGACCCATCTTGAGCGAAAAAACTCTTTGCAACTGCCCATACCCCGAGAGTATTCTGCTATTATTCTTTTAGTGCAGTCTTTTTTTTTTTTTTTGGTCATCTCTAGCATGCGATAGCCGTTTGTTTGTTTTTTTTCCGTCTCTTGGGATGGTAGCATGTCTATTTCCCATTCAATACTCCAGGACTGCAATAATATTCGCTTTTGGCAAGCAAGTAATAAAAGCATATGCATACACCCCCCTTCATGGACGCTTTTCTGTCAAATTGTGTACTTTCATACACCGTTCCTTCGCCACACTTTTACCACCACTACACTTTCACCGCTCTTTCACACACTCCACCCCCCCTTTCCTCCTTACCTCTTATGTTCTTTGTAAACCAACACTTCTCGGAAATCTTTCGAGCCAGAGTACATATACTCGTACATTCGCCATTCAACTCTGAATTCAACTCGGGGCTTTCCTCACTTATGGTAAATTCATTATAATAATTATACCTTTTTTCTCTCTTTCGTTAATGTTTATACAGATAAATCCAAGTACACATATTCGCCTCAACCGCCAACACCCGTTTCCCGCCCGAAATCACCGCCAATGCCAACCCAGACGCGCAACTCGCGCCATTCCTTTATATCTCAAGACAATCTTACACCTTCCAAAGGAAGTCTTTACTTACCATCATCTAAACAAGGAGTACATCCTGCTGATGCCGCCGCGGTGCTGGCTTCATTAGCGCCCAATAATTCTAAAGACATTTACTTACCTTCCGAAATATCGTTTCCTTCCCCTCCATCAAAATACTCCGTAGACGATCCTAAAAAACATTTGAAGCGTAGCGTAAGCTTTAATAATAGTCGTCGCACTTCATCACCACGACAACAACAGCCATACCTTGATATAGCCGAAGCACTGGCCACGTCCACTTCTCTGATACGTGAAAATAATAAGAGAATCCTAAATATGGAGCACTATAGTGATAATGAAATAGACGCTTATAGCGATGATGGCGCCGATGGCGCCGATGGTCCTGATATAGAGTTTGAGGAACAGATTGTATGTCTCAGTACCGAACTAATGAACATGCAAGAGCGATACAATGAACAACTCCTAGGCAAAGACCAGCTGATCAAGGGGCTTGAGAACGCAGTCAAGAAGCACGAGCATGAAGAAAAGAAAAGAAAGCACGAAATCGAACGATTAGAACGTCAATTAGAAGTCCAGCGAAAGGCAATATCCGAATTGGCCGACCAGCAACACCACGAGGCTGAATTAGCAACTCGTGCAAATAATACCGACCCAAAAGCTCTCGAGACTGCCCGACGTCGAGAGCAAGAACTGCGTGAGAAAGACCGTGCAATCGAAGAACTCAACCGGCGAATAACCATCGCTACCCGAAAAGCTGCCGACGCTGTTGAAAAAGAGTCTAAACTTGTAGCTCTCGAAGCACAGCTTACCAAGTACTATGCTCTCGAAAACGAGTGGAAAGTCAAAGAAAAAACTTTCGAAAGTCTTTCGACACAGGTCGAGTCTATCAAAAAGCAAGAGTGCGAAATAAACGAAAAAAATGCTCTTATCCGAACACTAGAAACCCGTCTAGAGTCTACATCAAAAGTTATTGCCGAGCTTAGAGAAAAGCATGCTCCACACGACTTGCTGTGGCAACTTCGACAGAAGGATTACATCATCGATAATCTCACCCAGCAAGTAGAAGATATTGACGCTAATCTCAAGATCAAAGACGATGAGATAGAATGCCTCACGCAACGAATAGCCGAAGAAAGCAAACTCTTGGAGAAACTAAAAGAGCAAAACAAGCAACTCGACCCCTTTCGGGTTCGTGCCGAAGACGCTGAAATGAGGGTCGGCCAACTAAAGAGACAGCTTGCTGAGAAAGAACGGCTTCTTGCTGAAAAAGAAATGAGATACAATGACGCCACAAAATCTTCGAGAGAAGGTTCCGAAAAGCTCCGCAGTCAAGAGCTCAACCTTGCTAACCTTCGTCAAGAAGTTGAAGTGCTTAGGCAAGCAGTGAGCACTCAATCTCAAGAGGCACGTGATAAAGAAACTCTTCTTGCCAACTTGCGCAACGAGACTGCACACATGCGATCCAATTACCAAGGTCTTCTCGATGCTCTCACGGAGAAAGATCTCAAGATCCAACAATTAGATCAGCAAATAGAAAGCCTTCACTCGGTCGCTAACAGTGCGTCCACCGAAAAAGACAGCAAGTTTATCAAGAACGAAGTCCGTCTCAATGCTCTTCAGAAAGTCCTCAACAGTAAAATCGAGGCGTGCAGAGACTATGAAAGGAAGATTGCCGAATTGGAAGAAGAATTCGACTGTCTCAAGAAACAAATGGAAGACTCGAAAACAGCGGGCACCGAAAAAGAGGCCAAAATCAACCGTCTTCTCAAGGTAAACCGTGAGCTCAAGACTGAAGTTACGCAACTCAAACAGAAAATGGAAGAAAAGGAAAAAGAGCTTGTGGCTATGAGATCTCGTATCCCAGGTCCATCTCCCGGTTCGATTCCAAATGCTTCCGAACGCAAACCCAGATCTCGCTCCACTTCTCGTGTTAGATCGTCTTACAGTGGTGAAAGTAGCAGCGATGAGGCCAATGGTAGTCGTATTCGCAAGCACTCTAGCATGAGTGGTCTTGGCCGTACCCCACTCCAGCGATCCAGCTCCTTTACAGCATTATCGAGCGTCACTCCTAGACGTGTCTCTGATAGTCCTAGACTCTCACTGAACCGCACTAAATCGACTACGTCAACATCTTCGACTGATCAACGACGAGCATCTGTCGTACCAGCAAAGAGGGAAGCGAAAAGGGACATTAAATCACGTCCCATGTCGACATCTTCTGTCGATATGCTCAAGAAATCAGTTACCAGCACCAAATCACAATCGAGACCAATCAACCGCTCGGCCGTCGCTCAATTCCAACGCGAACACAAGGTCTATAATCAAATACGCAGCGGTGTAACTCCTAAGAAAACCACTAAGTTGTCTTCTGTACCCGAAAACCATGCAGCGGGTACTAGAAGGCTAACCAGTGCCAATGTAGAACGCAAGAAACTCAGCGACCTTAATATCGACGCTGCTGCTAGCAGATCGCCGACAGTCGCGAGGACATCCCCACCATCTCCAACAAAATCAAGGAATTCATTGACCCGCCCATTGCCATCCAAGAAAACGTCCGACAATTAGGTGCAGTTCTACACGACTTGACGAAATTTAATTCGCAAGGCGTGTTGATACGTTTAATGAAATGAAATGAAGAAAAAAAAAACTACATCTCTCTCGCTTTTCCTATTTCTCAATATAACGGGTGTTGGCGGTTTATCACCTACATGATTCATATACACATCTCCCTTTCTTTTATTCATTCCCATCAATTGGAACATTTCTTCTTTTTTTCTCTTTCATTATTGGTATAATTTATCCGTCGTTTTTTGGTTGGCATCATAAGGGTATAACATTTATCGTTTTAGCTTCATCATCTCACAAATACTCCCTTACTTTCTTGGTTGGATATAGTGGTCTACTGGATAGCCATTCTATTGGTTAGCATTCTATTGGTTAGCATTCTATTGGTTAGCATTCTATTACGATGACGTCCGTGAATTTATTCTTTAACCCTTTCTTTTATTAAGCTCCATGCATCTTTTTAATAATATTCAATCTTATATTTTGCGTCTTTCTCGTTCTAATTTAGGGTTTTTGTTGTTTTTTTCTTTTTTCGCATAATTTGCTTTTGTTATAGAGAGAAAATCTGAAACTTAAAAAAAAAAAAAAGAGGGAAAAACCGAGAAAATCCTAAAAAAAACTTAAAAGTGTCAAACACAATCTTTTTTGTTTTAAGGGCTGTATATAGCAGTTTTGTTATATTGTTGTAGCACATGGTTTTATATGATGGTATATTGCTTATATTTTCATTCTCTTAGTGATATTTTATCCAAGAATACGATCCAAAATGAGTCAAAATGAACACTGAATAAAAATTTGACTAAAAAGATGAAAACAGAAACAAGAAAAAAAAGGGGAAAGAAAGGAAGAGAGAATGAAAATTCCTTACACACTCTCTCCTCCCCGATCGCCCCTTCCCCGCGCTTGCTGACAATGACCCTAACCGGCGCTGAACGAGATGCAGTGGCTATTACTCCGTAGACATTAACCCATCTCCTAACGAATCATGTGACAAATGCAGTCAAATAGTAATAATGAATACCCGTCTGCGCAGATTGAGCGAATAGTTTCCATATGCGTTTGTGTAGACAGTGCTGTTCTAAGCGAACAAGGTTGCGAGAGGTAATGCTATCAGGTGATACAGAAACGCCCATCTACATATTAATATGAAGATAGAAATACCATTTATATAATTCCGAGCGAACTTTATCTGCCATCTAAACAGTATGAACTGATCATAAAGTCCAATAATTCTAAACTACATCAAAGAACAGTTATAAGTAGCAGAGATAACGTCTGATGTACATGAAATATGTGAGAACGCTCTTACTATTACCTAACAATGAATGGTCCTATGCTAGTTATTATACTATCCAACGTTCCAAATGCCAACAGTCGGACACGTGAACTGAGGTTAGTCCACCTATTACTATTGTAATCACTATTATAGTTTCCGGAATCATGCAATAAATGGATTAATTGCTCTTGAGGAATGCCTTGCAAACTATACAATCGCTATCGGTGTTCTTTGATATAAATCCTTCATCTGATGGTATTAATGCGTGCAAACTGGGGTTTTCAAAGTAACTGATTGCCAGAACTCTACTATGGACTTGAATTCACTATGTTATGCCGACTGACAATATTTTCATTGGATCAATTATTGTCATCCGGCAACTGAGATCAAATTTTACTTGTCCAATTCACTTTCATATAGGCACGCGCGGTACGCAGCAAGTTGGTTTGTTTTCAACTTACATTTTTTGACACCAAAGCTCTATTTATGAGATTCAACGTTAGTATTAGACAACCTCTCACACTGGTTTGACCAAATGACTACTTTAATGAGCAGACTACCGTATAATGAATGACGGATTCTACAGGGTGGAGACAAATGTATTGCACAGTCGTAATTTATTTAATTCCGTAAATTTTTTATATGAATAAAAAAACCAACTTTTGAATCACTTATTTCATCAGTTTTTAAATGAAATAATAATGTTTATTTAACAGCGTGTCATGATGAGCAGAATAAAAATTTCCTGCTTTGGCGCATAAATGAGTCTCATAAAAACTAGCTAGACGCAAGAACATAACTAATCGCACAACGTTTCCGCAGCTTACAGCATCCCAGACATTTGTCTGATTGGTCAATTCAATTTTTAATATGATTGGATGATCAATTTATCGAGACTCAATA